GGGATCACAGGGATGAGGCGGGGAAGAACCATGTTGTGCCTGGGAGTCGAGGGAAGAGCTAGTGGACAGGGCAAGGGCRAAGTGATGGAGGGGAGGAGGATGCAGTGGGTGAGCAGAGGTTGGGGTGCCAGGGGAGCTCCAGAAAGCACATGAGGAGCTCTGCAGGGCTGGCAGGGGTGAAAGGGGTGCCTGCAGGGAGCCCTGGCTCCACTCCAGCCCTTTTCCACCTAGCAGGAGGCTCTGGAGAGTAGCTGGCTGTGRGCAGAACAGGGCCTGTCCCTGCTCCCAGGCTGCCATGCCAGATTCCTTTAGTATCAGGCCCCAGCTCCCCAGGTCCAGCCTGAGTAGCTGCCAGGGGCTCCTAATTATAACAGCAAACAAAGAGCTGGGCTCTGACCGCAGTGCTGCATCTGACAGCCTGTACCTGGAGACGCTGGAAAGGCTATTGGCACRCCTGGCAATGGCCCGGATGTGTGGGGGCTTAAGGCCCCCCAGGAGCTGGAGGCTGGAATGGCCAGCAATGCCCAGCCTCAGGCATCACCTCCAGAMTTCTGGCTGCTGTTGCTCTGCCAGCCAAGAAGCCCTCATGGAGGCTCCAGATGGCCTTGGCTTGGGCAGGATGTGGGTGGTCAAGGAAGGTCCAGTTGGGAGCAGAGGTGATGGAGCAGGAGTGTGGAGGAGCTGAGGCAAGGAGGGACATGGGGGCTGAACTGGCCCCACATCTCCCACAGGCACTGGATGGGCAGGAGTGTGTCCCAGAATGGTCCCAGCAGTGCTCCCATGCTTCTCCCTCATGTGTSTGCAGTGGGAGCTTAGGGTTTGCCAGAGATCTGCTGTGTGCAGAAGGGAAGGTGCCACCTCTGTAGTAGCCGTGCTCAAATGAGCTGCTATTGTAACACTGGCCAGGGCACACATGCACACAGCTGCCTGCCAGGAGGACATCTGCCTCTGCTCACCCTTCAGCTTGGCCTCAATCCTGCCATTTGGGGACTCTCATGTCCCCAGATGGGGAGGTTTTTGGTGCGCTGGCTCTGCTGGAGTTCAGCCAGGTGTCCCTCAGCTCTGGGGTGCTGCTGCTTCAGGGCTGGGGTACTTGATCCCCTGGTGCAGGAGTCCAGCACGGTGCCTGCTCCACAGCTGGTGTCACTGACATCCCACCCTGACGTGTCACTGTGGGAGCTGCAGGGTGGCAGCTGGGACAAAGTCATCGGGGGACACAGGGATTTCCCCCCMCCTCCTCTCCAGGCAGCTGGGGACAGGCAGGGACCTGCCATCTCTTGGAGACCCTGAATGTGACAGCGCAGCCCGAGGGAGTGGGTTCCCACTCTGGAGGGTGACAAGGCTGGCGACAGCTGTCCCAGGATGTTCAGAGCTGCAGCTATAGGTGTCCCAGCCCTGCCACTGGACTGCGGTGAAGAGCGGTGGGTGACACCCCAGGCACCCCCGAGGCATGGTGGGTCCCGGTCACCCACGTCTCCGGGAATGGCCCCGCTGCGGAGCGAGGGTCCCGACTACAGCATCTCGGCAGAATCTCCGGCTCAGGTTGTGCCGCGCTGGATACGGCATCTCCATGGAAACCCCCGGCTCGGGCGGTGCGGGCTTGGGAGATGCCATCTCCACGGAAACCGCTGCGGCGCCCGGATGCGGCCGGGATGAGCCGGGCACCGGATACCGCGGCGGGAGGGACGGGGTGTCAGCGAGCCCCTGGTGCGGGGCAATGGAGGCTGAGAGACACGGGGAGCAGGGACCACCCCTTTCCCCAACATGGGACAGGTTGGGGGGAGCATTTCTGAGCCTGAAATTCCAACCCCAGACTTGTGTCCCCTGCCCTGTTTGTCCCACAGATTGAGCCTCCCACCTCCGCCCGGTCGGGGGGAGCTCAGCCCCTCTCCCACCCAAGGCAGTGGAGTTCAGGCCCCTTCTGGGGAGGACCGTTTTCATCCCAATGGGTGCTAGAGGTCTTCGGGGACACGGAAATTCTCCCCGGAAATGCTCCCCAATTAAGTAAGGTACAGGACCCCAGGGATCCACGGGTGCTCCATAACGGCCCCAATGCTCACACTCACATCCTGAGCTTGGGAAGCCAGAGGGACAAGATTTCAGCTGCAGAAACAGCCCAGACGAAATATTTTACAGGTTATTTATAGCCCGCATTAAAAAAAAAAAAAAAAAAAAAAAAAAAAAAAGAAACAAAACAAAACAAAAAAAAAACAGCCCCAAAAATCCAGCGACCAAAAGCCTTTTGTTTGTTGATTTTTAATCTGCCTTTTACTCCATCCCGCTCCCACTGGCCTCCCGGGACGGCGGGTGCAGGAGCTCGGCTGCACCGGCAGCTCCGCCGGTGCTGGAGCGGCCCTGGCTCTCGGGTGGGTCCCCGCCCCTGGGGACCTCGCTRTGACCGTGCTTGTCCCCAGCCCCACGGCAGCGCCGCCCCTCCCTGCCCCGCTGCCCACCGCCCGGGTGCCAGCCAGGCCGGGCGGCCGCGGGCCGAAATTAGCCCCCGCTCTCCGCTGGCACCGGGAGCAGCTCGGACGCCCTCGCCGCGGCTCCCGGCTCCGTAAGCCCGGCTTTGACGTAGCCGGGAAAGTAGGCCAGTAAGAGCAACCGCAGCCGCCCGCGGCTCTCGGGGGACGCGGCGCTGGGGCGGCCGAGGGAGGGCTGCGTGCTCTCCCTGCCTCCCTGGGTCTCCCGTGCCCGACGCGGTGGCCGGCGACAMCAGGGCTTTGTCCAGGTTCTCACCGACTTTCTGGCAGCGGCCGGCCCTGCTGTCACGGGGAGAACGAGGATCAGGCCGGGGAAGTCCCCACAGAGAGTCGCCGCAGCCCGCAGCGGTGCCAGGATTCCCCGGCCCGTTTCTGTCTCCCTGCAAAGGGCTCCCCTCCACTTCCCCACCGCCCTGGGAGCTACCTTTCCTAGAGCAGACCTGAAATTGGTTAATTGAAAAACCCCGAGCTCCAGTGTCCAGTAAATCCATTTCTGCAGGGCAGTCAGAAGGACAAGCGTTGGCTTGATGAGGGGGCTCCAGAGGAGTCTATTCTGTCGCAGGGAGGCTGGAGGGACTGGAATGTCAGCACCAGTAGTCCCCCGGCACCAGGGTCCCTCCTACTCAATGCAGCCACTCATGCTAATGCTGTCCCCGTTTATTTTTGAAGCATCTCAGGATACTGGAAGCCCCCATTCAAGCCAGTGCTGTTGTTCCTCACAGGATGAGGCACATCCAGCTGTGTGGYTCCAGCTGTTCCCTCCCATGCTGAGCATCACCCACACCCAAGTTGCCGGACCCACTAGCTCCGTGTGAGACAGGGATCCATGGAGAGATCTGCACCTCAGCAGGTCCTGTCGCTGCTCCAGGTGATCCAGCTTGTGACAGCTGCAAACCYACCTGCTCCACAGTCACCTGAGCTGGTGTGACAGGGTGGCCTCAGTCCTCTGCATGAACTACACCTAAAGACTGTCCTGGTGCCRCTATCCTCCCAGCCCTGGAGGGAGTATCACATCGGAGCACGGGAGGTCCCACTTCAGAGTGCAGCAGAGCCAGACCTCACAGGGCTGTGCCCCTCTTCCGGGGCACAGGTGACACATGGCAGCAGCATCCTTTGCCATGGGGCTGGGCCAAATTTGGGGACTGATGGCATGGAGRGGGTGGGGTGGGTTCCCCCTCCCTGCAAAGGCAAACAACAGGATGACACTCTGCAGTTCCTGCTGGGCTCAAACCAGCTCTTCTCTGACAGGCCCTCCAGGACACTGCCTTCTCGAGTACTCTGAGCATCCGGGGGCAGGAATGGTGAGGAGGTGGGCTGGG